GAGGTATTTTACTAAAGACAAAAACAAAAGAAAAGTTTGTTAGCAGGATCAATTGAAAACCTACGAATGGATTTTATATGATCCAGATCATGTGCAAGTTTTAGCTATAGGTGTAGGTCACAATTGGTTGCAAAATTTGCTGCTTGGCAGAGGTTTGCGCTCTCAGATTGCTTTTCTATTATTCACTGATTCTGTGTTTCAGGCTGATTTTTCAGGCTGGTCAGAAGCTCTGTGATCTTTTTAATCAATTTAGGGTTTGTCGGAGTTCTGTTCTTGCTCTTTGATGGATTTTTGTTTCTTTCCAAGGTCTTCTCCAGCTCATTGATGCTCGTCTGTCGATAACTGGATACTTCTGGAATCATTGCTGCCTTCATGTGGTACGCAATAGACCTGTGACTATTTTCTTTATTGAAAAATAAATATTTAGCATAAAAGTGGTAAAGCATTTGTTTCTCTGCTGAATCCAGATTTTCTCTGTCCAGCAGCTCTCTGTAAATGTGGTCAGGTTTCTCTGGATTCACCTTTGCATATAAATCAGCTAGAGTTATTTGGTCTTGAAGTTTAGATTCCCCATAGAGCTCCAACATTTCCTCCCAGAGAGTGATGGCTCGAGAGATTGTTCTTCTTGGAGTATTGGGTTTGAAGTCTGGAGGAAAAATCTTCTTCACGTAGCAGATAGCTGCACATCTCTTTAAAACACGTGAGTCAGGATCTCTCTTCAAGGCCTGCTCAGCTAACTCAACAGCTTCATCTTTAGATATATATTCTCTGTAGAGACGTAGTAGTGGGGTGATGCCATTGTAACGGCTTGTAGACCTCTCCAGGACCTTTTTAGCCAATTCTCGAACTTCATGCTGAATTTGTAAAGCTTGTGCCTCCAAATAAAGGGCAGCAACATATAGGTTTTCTGGATCATTTTCTGTGGCAGATCTCAGTTTCTCCAGGACATCAGGACTCATTCTGTTCCTGCTCTTTCTGAAGGTGTCCGCTGATAATATGGCCCAGCTGCTCTGCCATTCTATGTTATTTGGCTGCATTTCTATGGCTCTCTGGAAGAGCTTGGCAGCTTCTTCTTCGTCAAACCTCATCAGGGTCCAGGCCTTCTCAGCACAGACCTCTGGGTGGAGGTCTTGCTCAGGTGGAGCCGGGTATTTACTCATCATAGCTTCACCCTTTGACAGGTAATCCTGACTCTTCTCATCTTCACCCATAAGATGGTGCAGCCAAGCCAGATTCCCAAAGTTCACTATCAACCAGGGACCTTCATCAGAGTTTTTAAGACGTTTGAAGGTCTCAGTGGCTCGGCTGAAGAACTTCAGGGCCTCTTTAGAGGAGCCCAGCTTGTACTGGATGAACCCCTGCAGGTTGTAGATGTGACCCAGCCAAATGTTTCCCTCTTCTGTGCCGAAGTCCTCTACAATCTTCTGTATAAAAGTAAGACTGTGACTTCCAGGATCGAGGTTCCAGGTGAAATGGCACTGAAGGGCCTCCAGTTTGTTTTCCAGACTCTGAGCAGAACTGATTAGACAATAAACATGACAGAAATTAACTTGCAGCAGCAGAAATGACACATATTTTGGGTAACAGAAAAAGAAAGAAGAAAAAAGTAGTAAAAACATCTGTTTCATTGTTCCTGGAACATCCATTTTTTTTATTATTATTGTAGCTTTTGGTTATTTCTCTCATTTCCAGCATCTGAAGCTCTGATCCTGTGAGAATGTCTGTCCTGCTCCAGGTTTTTAGTCATATGGTTTTATGATTAGGAGGTTTTCTGTACAATCCGCTGATGTCATGATATTTGAAATCGGCAATCAGATAAAATTGTGCTTTGGCTGAAAAGTCTTTCAGAATCAAAACAAAGGTTGATACTGACTGTAAAATGTGCCAAAACAAAAAATCCTCACCAACTCTAGACTCATGTTGAAAGCGAAATAATTAACATTTTCTGTGTATTTCACTTGACAAACCAACACAGAGTGGAACAAAGCTGTAAGGAGAAGGAGGGTTTTTTATTTTCTAGGTTTCAGTCTAAACCAGGAGAAACAGCAAACTGGTGAAAGAAGGAACTCTGGCCCTCATGGAAAAACTTCTGAACTGATCTTTAAAATGTTTTTTTTTGGTGTATTACAAGACATCTAAATGTATTTTCACCCAAACCACATCCTTATATAATGTCCAAACTGATTTATGTGCTCAAACTTTCTTCTGCGTGTGTCAGGATCCGAGACTTTGCCCACCAGAGGGCGCAATGGATCCAGGCCTGGAGAGTTTGGACTCGGCTTGATCAGCTTTTACCAGTCCACTGATTAGGAAGCT